TATATATATATATATATGAGAGTTTAATAATATCGGTGTAACTTTTACTAAGTATTACACCGCTCAATAACTTTATATTAAATACGAATTTTGTAAATTCAACCGTTAAATTGAAAGTTCATATCTCTTAGATCATATATAAAATTTTTTATATTAATTCAAGATGATTTAATACTTTATTTTTATAAAGCAAAATTGACGTAATATATTCATTTCAAAATACACTAAAATATGAACATTTTGATTACTTTTAAGTTGTTGTTCAATTTTAACAAAATTTGATATACACGTATAAAGTGATAGGAACTTTCAATCTAACAATTAGATTTACAAAATTTATATTTAATATAAAGTTATTAAGCGGTGTAAGACTTGGTAAAAGTTACATCAGTATAATTATAACTCCTCTCTCTATATATATATATATAATCTCAAATTTGAATTCATTATTATAATTATGATAGATAAAAGAAATACTAAGATTACATAAAATGATAAATGAATTAAAACAAAATTTTTATATCTATTATCTTATGAACTAAAAATTAATTACTTATATTTCACTTTTAAAATATTAAGTGCATTTTTTATTTAATATTTTACATACTATTATACCATGTTTGTAGCGTAAAATTCACAGTGATAAAAAGGGAAGAACGTGTATAAAATAAAATGCACACATGTTTGGTATTGTAGAAGTAGCGTGAAATTATGAAGAATATTAATAAAACCTATGATAAAAATCTTCCGTATTAAGAAGAACAAAGTTGTGCAAAAGTAACTGTGAGAAATATTTTACTTTTTTACACACTACAACACTATTTTATTTTCTTCTATTTCTTATCTATTAAATAAGTTTTGTTTTTATTTTTTTACTTACTTTTTCTTCTTTTCTATTATTTTCTCATCTCTTATTTTTCATTCTGTTTACCAAATATATATATATATATAGACTCTTAAAATGAGAATGATAAACCATAGAACAGCATGATGGTATAAGTTTCATGCTTAAAGGAAATCATTTGCAATGTAACAACAGAATAATGCTTTGTTGCATATGATGGCAACAAAATGATGTTGGTCAACAGGAATCACACGCCAAGGCCAGCTGAACGGAACGGTGGGTGACTGTTGCTAATTGACTGTCTTACTTTCACTGTTCCAAGGTTTAAATTTCAGAGAGGCAGGACAGTGTCTTTCCACTGTTTTTGTTTTTGTTTTTTATGTTTTCTTTGACAGCCTAGACTGCGAGTCTGGAACTGGAGTATGACTAGTACTCTCTTCATTGCTACCCAACACATTATTCTTCATTCATACTAATCATTAAACACTCCTCACTCCTCCCCAAAGAATCTTATGCTTCCTTCACAATAATTATTATACAAATTTTATTTTCTTAGTCAACAAAATTCACTATCAATTACCCTTATATTTTTAATAATTAGAATGGAAAAATAAAAACAAACTCCCTTGCGATAATAAAGCACATTATTTTATTTTAATATTTTTTTTTATTCTTTATCATGTATTCTTATGGCGGTTAATAATTTTTTAAATAAGATTTTATTTAATAATTTATGTAATAAATTTGTTTATTGGATGTCAACACATAAGATAATTTTTAATTCTGATTGAAAAATAATATTGTAAAATTTTCTTTTTATTTCATATAAATAAAGATTTGAAACTTTTACATATGTAATTTGGCAGGAAAAAAAAATCATTACAAGAAGGTGTTATATCAAAACATGAAATGCATTTAGCGACTGGATTCACTTAGCTTAGCAGAATCATAAATTCCTCACAAATCTTATAGAATGGTGATTTATTATGTGAAAAAAATAACAAAACGAGAGAAATGCATTTATGAGATGAAAACATGCTCTAAATCAAAATCATATTGGTTACCCTAATTCATAACACAACATTGATTGATTAAGCTTTTGATTTAGACTTATCAAGTAACATGAATGATTGAATTCCATTTGGTACAGCACTAGCTACCATTCCAACCTTCAATTCACAATGACATTGATTCAGTGCGAGAATGGAATGAGCGCCGTTGGATTGGTCCACGAGGCCCACCACGTGCATGATCAACGGCCACGTCGCTTCCTCATGCATTGCATTCCCTTCCTTTCGGCTACTTTGTGTCCCCGAGAGACCCACCAACACCCACAGTACTTGTCCCTGCAATGCTCAAATCAATGAAAGTGAGAGACAGACACATGAAGAAAGGACTATTTTCTTTTTTCCTCAAACAAAGTAAAGAAAGTGTTAAAACATCATGGTTTCTCGTACCAACGTCATTTAACTCATTTTTTTTATTATATAGCCGCACTTCGAGACAGACAATGGGATACACCATCTATACCTAGTTCCAAAGAAACTTTTAAAATGTTATAGAAGATTAGTTAGTGGAGGGAGGGAAGAACAACTCATCACTTTAAGTTGCTCATAAAGAAGACTGCTTTCATGATATTTTCTCCTACCACGCCTACCTTTGTTTGAAGTTTAGACTTCCACTTGCATTTGCAGCTTCTTATTATTGTTATCCAAGTTCCTTTATTCGCATTCCGAGCTTATTGTTTTGGTGGGTGTATATAAAGGTATCTTTTTTACTTTCATGGTGTTGCTTAATTCACTTGTTCTGAAAACTCTGCTTGCTGGTTAGTAAATGTATATCGTGTTGCATTCATTATATTAGTGTCTGGTTTTCTTCTTCATGGTCCCAGGATAATGGTTCTTTCTGTTTTTGGAGTCATGGGACTCCCGGGCAGCTGGACTGACTGCATTTGCTTGGAATTTTTTTTGAAGAAAATGGTTATTGTTTATATCTTTTGACATGTTAACAGTTTTTAGCCTTGTGTGGGTGTGTTGGTGGTTGGTAAATAAATGGACAAAAGATCCAAGTGAAACAAGATCTGGAAGACTGTTTGATTGAGATCTCAAAACTAGTATCCATAATAGTCTTTATACAAGCATGTGTGTGCATATGTTATGGAATTGGTAAAATCTTCATTTGAGTATTTTTGGAATGGCTTTTGTGTATCTACCTCTCTTCCTTGCATACAAGGATTTGTTTTAGATTTTGCATACCTAATTAACAAACTTGACATTTTAGTTCTTTTTCCACATAACTCTGCCCCTAATTTGCACAAATCCAAAGTGAATTCAGATTCTATTCCAAGTGTGTTATCCTAGCTAAAGAAGATTTAATTTCTGACTTGACTGTGCCTGGATATGACTTTTACCCAAAATTGCTTACAGGGCATAAGCTAAGCTCTGTAAGCAAATTTGATTTCCATGTATTGTTCTGTTTCATGACAGTTTGAACCTTTAATTAGTGTTAGAAGCTATTGTTAATAATTGTGAATCTTCCTGGTTATTATGGATTCATTTTTATAACTGTAACCATGATTAATTTGTTTTCTTTGACATTTTGGTCAATAAATATACTCTACTATTTTTGTCCAAGATTGTTTAAAACTTTTGACAACTGAGTATTATTCTCATGATAGCAAGTACTGCTGTTTCATGAGTTTGTCCAAATTACCATCATGAGTTTTTTCTTTTCTTTTACTCCGATCCAATACACGACAATTTATGTTATATAGGCAAGCACACTTCCACCTTGTATATCTAAAAACAATTGTTTTGTTAGTAAGGTGGAGGAGTGATACATAAAATGGAGGAGAGAGGAGAAACAGAACTGATATCTATACCGGCGACACCGAGAGTGTCGACGCCGGAGATACTAACACCGTCGGGGCAGAGGTCACCAAGAGCAGCATCAAAGGAAGGAAAATCATGGACCCCAACCTCGTTCATATCACCAAGGTTTCTGAGTCCAATAGGGACACCAATGAAGAGAGTGCTGATAAACATGAAGGGTTACTTGGAGGAGGTTGGACATCTTACCAAACTCAACCCCCAAGATGCTTGGCTTCCCATCACTGAGTCTCGCAATGGAAATGCTCACTACGCTGCATTCCACAACCTCAACGCTGGTGTTGGCTTCCAGGCTCTCGTTTTGCCCGTTGCTTTTGCGTATCTTGGCTGGTATGCTATCTTTTCCTACCTATTCACCACCTTACATTACATTTTGCATATGTTCAAATTCAACGAAATTGGTCAACATTTCTGTTCCTTTTGTGACATATGGTTTTAGTATAAGTTGTAATCTTTTTTTCTCAAATTTGTTTTGACTTGGGGCCAGGGCAAGTATTACTGAAATTTAATTTATTTTCTTAACCTTCACCCGCCTTTGTAATAGAACTTTATTAGATATGAAGGAATATCCCATGCTTTATTTTGTAGTGTGCATGCGCGTTCTCTTTGTTTTCTTTCTCTTATATTTGTAGGCAGAAACTTTACTTTCGTTTTCTAGAAAAAAATAAAATAAAATAAATATTGTCTCCTTTTCGTTGCCCAAGACATGAAAGAAAGATGATTTTGAATTGCGGGGCACGCCTTTTACAAATATCAAAGTTCATCATAGATTTCATTGCTTGAATGGAAAGAATTTCAAAGATGGTGTTGGGGGGGAGGGGCGGAGCCAATATGCTTGCTAATTTGGCCCTTTATTTTTTGCTTTCCCCGATGTTCAATCAACTCACCCTTGTCTAGGGAACAGTTTTAATTTTGTCCATATTATCGATTTTCGCTGATAAGAGGGCCCCCTCATGTTGGTTATTCAATTGATTAGTCATTAGTTAATACACCTTTTTTTTATATCATAATTTCCATCTTCTAATACTGTTTTGGAAGCAACTTTCCTGTCCTTTGACTATGTTTCTATTTCTAGATAGTATAGAGAATACGGAATTTCTCTAATTGAGTTGAATAGTAAAGTTTGTATGGAATAATGGCGTATGAAAAATATTTCAGCTCACTTTTAAAGATATTTTATCCAAAATATTTTGCAGGAGTTGGGGAATTCTTTCCTTAACCATAGCATATTGTTGGCAACTTTACACGTTATGGATTTTGGTTCAGCTGCATGAAGCAGTTCCAGGTAAAAGATACAACAGATACGTGGAGCTAGCACAAGCAGCATTTGGTAAGTTGTTTTTCCGTAAATACTATTTTCTAGCTATTTGATGCAACATATTTAATAAAAGCTTCTTGATTAACAATGTACAAATGCTTTGACACATCAGATATAATTGATTCATATATGGCCTTAAAACTTGTGTTTTTTTGTATATAAAGCATCCCCAAAAGAACTTGTTGCTTACTTAGCGCATGTTTGACTGCGCATCCAAGATCCACATCTAAGCATGAATCATGTCAATTCTGATGGAAAAGTAACTCATAGCTGCTTTGACAGATCCACGTCAAGTGCTAATAGATGTATTACTAAGCACACACTTAAGCTAAATTGAAAAATATGACACATAACTATCGTAAAACTTGCATTGCATCATTTGAAAAGAATATAGCATCCTATCTCTATTCTGTAATGTTTAGTTTCTACCTTCTTTTGCAGGGGAAAGATTAGGAGTCTGGCTTGCTCTCTTCCCAACTGTTTATTTGTCAGCAGGAA